GGAAAGGTTTACACCTTCCCCCCCCCCCCCCCCCCCCAACTCTCTTCTCCCCATTGGTTAATAATGGTATCCACGCGAAGGCGGCCCCAGGAAGAAGACCCCCCCCCCGCTACCCCTACCCCCCCCTCTCCTCTCACCTGGAATTGGCACTCCTCCCTCCCGCTCCTCCGACCCCGGCATCCCCCCCTCCCTCACCAACGGCTCTTGCCCCTGCCCCCCGCAAAGAAGCGGACAGCCCTTCTCGGTGGTCCGCACCCACCACGTCCCTAGATACACGACGACTATGACCACTGATAGCACCACCACCACCACCGCTACCACCGCTACCACCTCCTCCCGTAACGCCGCCGCCGCCACCCGATGCCCCCACCCCGCCCCCGCCGACGGCCCCCTCCCCGGGGATGGAGTTCACGGACGAGCCGGAGGCGTCGCCGCCGAGCGCGTCCCAGGGGCGGGGGGAGAACGGGGAGCTGGAGGACAGGGGCGGCGTTCGGGGGAGGCTGTTGAGCCCTGGCCAGTCCGGCAGGGAGCCCTTGACCTTGAGCTCCTCGCAGAGCTTCAACACCTGGGAGGTGTTCGATAAAAAAAGGTGAGTCTTGTGAATACGCGGGGGCACCGGCGAGGGGATGCTTTCGTCGAAAAGAGTGGAAAGGGAGTTGCACCTGCAGCCACAGCTATAATGCCTAACCCCGTAAATGTGTTTAAACATCCTCTTGTTGGTTGACAGCTTCGGCCGTGGTATTGTTATATTTCTGGTGTGTACTTAACAAATACTCCTGTACAGCGGCGACAGACCTGTGCAATCGATTGTTGAAGCTGCAAAGAAGTAGCGGGAAAATAATACAGCAGTTAAGAACAAAAACCGCTGTACTGTACAGCAACAGACCTGTGCAAAGGATTGTGATTAGCGATTAGCGTACAGCTGTACTTTACGGCGACAGACCTGTCCTATCGCATGAGCTACAAAGAAGCAATAGTGAATGGTACGGCTGCACTTGTAGCATGCTGTAACGGCGACAGGGTTACAGACCTGTCCTATCGTCGGCCTCCTAGCGGGGTCCACCACGAGGCAGCACCGGATGAGCGACACCAGCCCAGCGGAATACCTCTTCTCCTGGGGTATCTGCCAGAAACAGAAAACGCAGGCGGAAATCGTAACACACACCGTAATGGTCGAGAACCAACCAAAAAGTCCCCGAATTCTGCCAGGGCACACACGTTCCGAATATGATGGTCGAAAACACAGAGTGGACTGCACCCGTTTGTGTGTGTGTGGGGCGTACACTTGGGTTGTCCGAAAGCCGGAGCAGGAAAGGAAACGGATAAAAACGAATGGCATATCCACGCGAAATGGCATGTCGAAACGGAACCGTATCTTGAAACGAACCGGTATCTTGAAGCGAACGAAACGGCATCTTAATTACGGTGAAACAATATCTTGGAGCAAGATGACATGTTGAACCGAACACGACGGTGTCTTGTAACGAAAGCACGGCAGGGAGGAGGACGATCACTCAAGACGCACCCAAGGCGGTGCGTGGTGTGTGACCTCGACACTAACTACAACACCACACACTGTACCGGCCGCACGAAACAGGCAAACGGCAACACCACCACAAAAGAACCCGCAAAACAGCACCAACAACACTTGTCATCCGGACAACCAGTACAAAAAAAAAAAAACACCTGTCATCAGTACAACCACTTTCCACCACGGGCAAAGAGGGGCCCTGCAACAACACCCACCCACCTACCCCCCCACCTTCTTATCCCCCAGCCCCTTGAGAATGGCCCCCGCGTCCACGTTCCCCTTGTTGTCCTCGAACGGGGTCTGGAAGAACGCCAGCTTGAACAGGATCACCCCCAGCGCCCAGATGTCGACCTTCTCGCTGACAACGTGCCCCTGGAACAGGTCCACCTGCTCCGGCGAGCGGTAGGCCGCGGTCGTGTTCCTGCGGATGTCTTCGTTGGCTAGCTGGAGTTCCTGTTTCTCGGCGCGGTGCAGTCAAAGACAAGGAACAAACACACGAAAGAAACGGACAACCGAGTTCGAGACCAAAAAAATAAATGAATCAACACTGAATGTGGAAAGTAAAGACACGGGTATGTACTGCTGTGGTGGGTCACATGCATACCACTACGAATTCGTTGCCGTAATTGTTAGTTCTGGACTTTTTATCTTACTTGCGTGTCGGAGATGCGTTTTCGTTTTCAATTTGTAAGAAGAAAAAAAAACTCAAGAAGAGTCTCTCACAGACGAATTTCAGCAGCGAAAGTG